CAGGTATCACCAACAATTTAAAGATGGTACAGCACCTTTATTCCCATTTATCATGAGGAATTTCCATCTTAGAATTCCCTGCTGTTAGCAGTAATTTTCTGAAAACACAGATTTGGTAAATTCATTTCTAGTTCCAGGTCTTGGTGTCAAGGAAACATTCCTTTTGAAATCATGTACCAAAGATGAAAAAAAGCAGAGCGCTGGAGGCCCCAGTGAGATTCGAACTCACGACCCCTGGTTTACGAGACCAGTGCTCTAACCCCTGAGCTACGGAGCCCCGCGAGACACCCCCTCGACTCCTTGCCCTAAAGCTGATTACACATGCAACTATTTCGCTTTCCGCTCCTGAGAGTTTCCGGAAATTTGGTGTTCCACCCCTCCCCTTTCCGAGTTCCACCGTGACAGTTTTCACATCACAAAGGCTGTCCGGGGACTCGGCCGGACGCGCGGCCCCGCCGAGGAGGGAGGCCGGGGTGAGGAGGGAAACCGCGCGGGAAACGGCCTGCCGGCCTGCGCACAAACAAATACAAACCGAACACCTCGACTGCCGGCGAGTACGCGCCGCTCCTTCAAACGACTCGGCAAACAGATTCACAGGGTGGGGGGGGGGGCGAGCCGCGGCGCTGGCCCGCGGGCTGCGGGGGAGAGGCGGTGCGCTCCGGGCCCGGCCGCCAGCTCCGCAGAGGGCCCACCGGCTGAAGCACGGCCACACACAGGCACGACGAGGCCCTGGTGACCCGGGGTGTCCCGAACGCGCGTGACAGGAAAACCAGGCAAAACAAGGAATGGTCATATTAATGAAGTTGAGAGTGAGGGCAGGGGAGGGGATGTCAATCTTACCGCTTATTCTTAGTGATTAAAGATCACTAAGGATAAAAGATCTTTTAGGATTAGAGATCCGCCTCCTGCATCCCAGAGGAGCCAGTTTGTTCGAATTCTCCAAAATCCTAAACTTGTCTGTGCATAAGGGACACTACCTACTGAGACTCCTCATCATCACCCTGCTGTCAGAGAAGAAGGGGATTGCGGGCCCAGGGAGGGTCATGAAGCTCCAACAAGCCTGTGATTTGCAGGGTTTTTTTCAGATTTCATCCCATGTTTAGGTACTGTGCTCACCTCCTGTTTCTAGCACCTAAAGAAATTTATAACCTCAGTGAAATACAGGTCTGTTAGGTTCAGAGGAATCACTTGGCCTTTTTTTGGTGCTTTATGTTTTAATGATGTTAAGTGAGATCTCAGTGGGCTCTCTTTCTTCCGCTGTCTGCAGAGACAAAGCCCTCTCATCCTTAAATGCATTCATTCAATACAGCATTTACTAACAGTGAGCAATCATTACGGGCAGGACACTGTGGAGGACACTCCTCTGGCGCACCGAATTCTCGGTAGTTAGAAGACTGTCTCGCCTGCCTTCAAATCCCTACCACGTAGGGCGTGTGTGACAGACTAGTTTACCTACAAGTACAGTTAAATTGCAAGTGCTTTTGCCGCTCCGCAAGGGCCTGCAAAAACACACAGTTCTGGAAGGGTACCAGCCCAGAGAGCCAGCTCTCTTCCTCCCAACCTCAGACTCCAAAAGTCAGCAGAGCCGGGAAGACAGGACTGACTGTCAGGTGCTGATGAAATGAGGCATGGCCTCTTCGTTAGAGCTTAAAACACCGCACTGAGGTACTATATATCCATACAGAATATCAGGTATTAGAATACTAGCACTATTTCTTTGCATTTGGTTTAGCCTTACTTAGGATAAATGTGATTTGAGGAGCCAAATGATCCAGAATTCAGCCTATGTAGGACCTGGCCCTTTGACTCTGTGATGCTAACCTAGACAATTAACTTTTCCAAACTGTTGTTACTAATTTCCACCGCCTTCTAATGTAGGAAATCTTCACCCATTTGGAACTTGGTTTAGCAAGGGTTTTCAGAACACCTATCGGACTGATCTCCAGATTTTGGAGGGGACGCCAGGGACCTCTACCTCTCTCTCTTGCCATCTCCCATCTGCCAGTGCCTTCCATTGGCTGAGTCCAGACAGGAGCTAGGACACAAGAGAGCCCAACTGATGCGGCCTTCCCGGGCAGAAAACGCGGGCAGAGAATGGGTCTGGATGGGCAAATGGAGAATGATCAGCAGCCTGCTGTTGTAACTGTAGGGGTAGGGTTAGTGTAGGGTTGGTTGAGTCATGAACGCGCATCTTGTATAAGCCTTGGATAACAGCGTAGGTTGAAGCTTGAGCAGCTGACAAGTAATATGTATGGCTAAACAATTTTTATCATCCGATATTAGGAGTACAGCCATTGCAAGGAGGAACATGGGTATGTTTGCCACTCCCTGACACGAAGTGAGGAAGAAGGCATGAAGTGTAGGTTCTTTCCAGCAGATGCGTCCCGGTGAGACTGGCATGTGGAAGGCAGCTCTTCTGTCAGAGAAGGCTGAGGAGGCATCTGGTTCTGGAGAAAATGTGTGGATTCTGGTTTCAGGCAATAGCTCAGTTCATTCCAAACAGCCAACTAAGGCTGCAGTGTAGGCATGTTTCCTGGCTCCATTAGTCCTGCTGGAGGGGTAAGCAAGTCTGTTTCTCTTGGAGACTCTGTGATCTAGACAAATAATGTTTTGGAAATCTCATCCTGATGATGCTAGCAGAATGAGTTATCTTTTTAAGATGCACAGCCTCGCCCTGCACTTGAGTGTTGGAATACTCCTGTAATAGCAGTGGTGTGCAAAGTTGCCAGTCAGGAAACATCAGTTCCTGGTCCACAGAGACGTAAGCTTGTTCCAGAATATAATTAAATGCACTCCTGCCTTCCCTGAGGAACTTCACTACGAACAAATCATCAACAGAACTAAACAAGATGCTTAGTGATATAGTTGACTTACCTCTGGCACAAGCTCCATATCTTGAAACGGAGCAGACTGGAAATAAACAATTACGGATTGTGCCGGTCGCCAATCACACTTTGAGAGGCTCTGCCCACGGTTTTCCCTCCTTCTAGTCATTTGCCCTCAAACAGAGTATCCACTGACAGTATCCACACACATTTGTATCACCTGGGGCTGATGGACACAGCTCGTTCCATTGGACGGAGTTTGTACACAAAGCAAAAAGAAGATCCTGATTTTTTAATAGCTCCTTTTGGAGGCAGATTTCTGGCCAACTGGACTCAACTGGAATCCATAACATCTCTCCTAATGACTAATACAGACTGTGGCTGTAATTGCCCCAGCTGCGGTTGGTCTTTGCAATCCCTAATAGGTAGACTTAGTGAAACAAATGCTCTTGTCTCTTCTTTCATAGGATGAGAAGGAGGTAGCAGGAGCTGAGAAGGTACAAACACACTTCCCGCTAGGCATAAATAACTGAAACCGAGTCCAAAGGGCATGGGAGGGAAGTTCATTGGCAAGAATGTCAGGAATTCCATAAATGAGACATTCTACGCTGGTTCCAGGGAAGAGTCAGAACAGAAGAGCATACTGGGTCCACCAAGCCCGCCTGTATGGGAAATCTGGAGGTAGATTTATCCCTTTCTCAGGTAAAGAAAGGGAATAAAGTGCACCCTGGGGCAGAGAAGGTGATGGGGCCTCCAGCACAAGACTGATGGAAGAAACGTGGCTAGATCTCTGCCTTCCACAAATCTCTCACCCCCAGATGAGTATCCTCAATGAGAGACCTCTCCAAGAATAGCTTTCCAAGAAAAGCTAGAAGATGGATTTCCAGCAAGTTCCGGAGGGCACTTTCAAGCAAGCTCTGCTAGCACAACAAGGCAATGTCTCTGCTCTTCAGTGAGCCAGGCTGTGCCCTCTACAGCAAGGTCTGGGGCTTCGCTAGGGGTGGGGTGAGGGGTGGAGGGCTCTTCCTTCTGTGCTAATCTCCGCCCTCACTTCCTAAGGTGCTTTATCAGTCCCCAGGGTGGTGACAGCTCCTTACAGCTGCTACCCTTACAGTTCTTAGAATTCTCTTTACATTTTCCTAGCCAATTCCTTGGTCCTCCAGTCTCCCCTGTAGTTAATCATTCTCTATATTAAAACTTTCCCTGTGCATTACAAGATAAATATGTTCTGGGGATATAATGTAAAACATATCAACTATAGTTAGCAATACTGAATTGTACATTTGAAAATTGCTGAGAGAGGAGATCTTAAAAGTTTTCATCACAAGGAAAAAATTGTCAGAGTGTGAGGTGTGCATGTTAACTCCAGTTATTATGGTCACCATTTTGCAATATATACATATATCAAATCATCATGTTGTATACCTTAAGCTTACATGGTGTTGTATGTCAATCATATCTCAATAAAACTGGAAAAATAAGAAACTAAATAAGCAAGCAAACAATTTTTCCTGTCAAATTGCTGCATGGTTTCTCTCTTCCTGATTGGACCAAGACTGATACCTACGTACCTATTGCTGCATAAAAAATCATATTAAAACGTAATGGCTTGACTTAACACACCACCGATCATGTCTTCTCTCACAGACTTGGTCAGGAATTTGGGCAGAGCACAGCTCGTCTCTGCTCCTGATTTCTGGAGACCCGACTGGAAGACTAGAAGGCTGGGGGCAGGAAGTCACCTTTCCACATGTCCGGCGGTTGCTGCTGGCTGTGGGCCGGAGACCTCAGCTCCTCTCTACAGGGTCCCTCCCTGTGGGCTTTCTGGCAGCATGGTGGCTCGGTTCTGAGGACAAACGTTCTGAGAGAAAGCTGTTGGAAGCTCTTGTGAGCTAGCTTGGGGAGTCCCACAGCATCAATACCAGCGCATCACAGATCTTTCCAGATTCAATGAGAGGGAACACAGACCCCTACCTCTGGAAGGAAATGTGTCAAATCACTTTAAAGGAAGAGCACATGGGATGAACTATGTTGCTATGGCCATCTTTGGAAAACACAACCGGTCACAGGCTTTCTATGGCTGAACTCAGAGCCCCTACTACCTCAGATTTCACTTATCCAACTTCCCCTGAACTTGGAAAGAAAAACTTCAGAAAATAAATTAATAATAAAGAGGTGTTAGGAAATAGTCTACCCAGAAGGTCACGAAATATTGACTCTACTGTGCAGGAACCCATCTATCCAAGACAACTGGATTATGGCATATTTTCAGCTGCAGTTCTATATTCACATTACATTTTAGTAACATCCATTTTCAAGTATCCCAGATATTTTAAAGCTATATTCAGAAGTTTTCATTTCGTAGAAAATACATACATAGACTTCAAACAGGTATAGGAAGCAATATGCAAAAATTCAACATAGGCATATATCAAAATATACATTTAATTTTGCATACTGTTGCAACTGCACTGCTGAAATACAGTCACATTAAAAAAAGTAACATGTACAAATAATAACTTAATTTTCAAGATATTTCCCACTCAATTTTAGAGTCACAGATGAAGAAATTAAAATCAATTTTAAGTTAGATTTAAAAGTGATGTCTACAAATTTAAGTATCCTATGGATATAGACCCTTGCGGCCTAATTATAGAAACCTGTTGAGGCTCCTATTTACCGGAATGTTACATTGCTTCTCTCCTCCACAGTGTAATCCAAGAATACTAGTTGCAACAAGGTATTGCTTTTTTCTTTTTCTTTTTTGGCTACTTCATTTCCACAGTCACTGAAACGTATTTTTTTCAGCCCTAAACGGCCAAGCTTATGTTTCAGAAGAGCCGCTGCCCCCCCAGGGCGGCTGATGGAGAGCCTCCGAGGGCTCTAGAGAAAGGAGGGACAGGCCTATCCCGCAGCGCCCGGGCGACCCCGCGGGGCAGGACACCGAGCTGCACCCCGTACCGTGTGCGGAAATGAAAGATGGCTGCGGGCGGTGGCTTCACGGTCTGGGGCGGTTGACAACGGGACGAACGCCTCGAAATGCACTGAAAGGGTCTCTTGATGATGAGCGCCCGCGCCCAGGGCAGTGGGGAGGGCATTTGTTGGCTGAGTCTCCGCCGACCCTGGAGCAGCCTCCACCTGGGCTGCAGGATGCGGGTCCGAGTCGCAGAGGTCACGGTGACCGGCATGCAGTCCACGTCCCAGGTGGGGTCGCTGCGAGGACCGAGGCCCGGCTACGGGGAGAGCCCAGGAGGGGCGCCCCCAGCGCGCCGGCGCCCTGGGCTCCAGGCCCGCAGGAAAGGCTCGTGTCTTTGCGTTTCTGCATCAGAGTTCGGAGCTCGCGCCTCGCCCGCCAGGCCCGGGGAGGGTCGTTTTCCGCGATGCACCGCGCGCGGAGCGCGGGGGCAGAAGCCCAGGGAGGAAGCTTCCGGCCTCGGCAGCGACGGTGTCAGGATGGCCGAGTGGTCTAAGGCGCCAGACTCAAGCACTCGCTTCCCGCGCTGGGGCTTCTGGTCTCCGCATGGAGGCGTGGGTTCGAATCCCACTTCTGACACTTCCGGTTTTGTTCCCCCTCAACACCCCGACTTCCCAGGAAGGAAAAGCCCCTCACTAGAGAATGCTGGGATGTTCTCAGGGACACTTGGACGCAACCCCTGGCGTCATCAGAGCTCCTCTCCTCCCAGAAAAAAAAGCCATATCAACGGTGGACCAGTCGAGCGCACGTTGGGTCCTGGCTTTTCGCGGACACTGTGGAAAATGTTTAGGTCGGCAATAGCAGGGAAATGGCCACGCTGTTAAAATTAACTAAATCAATAGCTCTTTCTGAGATATTATCTCAGAATTATGTGATTTAGATGTCTTCTCTTTCATTTTTTGAAGTTAATAAAATGCATCCTATGAAGTTCTACATAGGCTAAAATCTTGGTCTTAAAATTAAGATCTTAGATTTTTGCAGATTTGCTTTTAAATGAGTTTGTCTTCCTGTATTGTATAGCTTTTGAATTACTGTTCAGCAGTGTCTCTCCTGGAGATGTACCTCTGTGAAATTCCAGCTCAGCTCCATGGCTGGCCTAGTATAGTCTTTGTAGCAGTTTTTTCTTTTTTCAAAATTGAGATATATTTGACACACAACGTTGTACAACATAGTTCTGTCTGGTCACATAATTATCATTTCTTCTAGTGCTGAGAACAATTAAGATCTAGTCTCTTGACAAGTTTAGTGTTTATAGCACAATTTTGTTGTCCATAATCACATTAGGTTTCTAGGAAGTATGTATCTACTAGTCGCAAATATGTACCCTGGAACAATATCTCTTCCATACCCCTCTCCCACCTCCTGGTATCCACAATTTACTCTCTGCTTTCACAATCCTTTTTTAATTCCACCTATAAAATATATTATGTAGTACTTGTCTTTCTGACTTATCTCACTTCGCATATTCTCAGGGTCCATCCGTGTTGATTCAAATGGCAGAATTTCCCTTTTTTCATGGCTAAATACTATTTTATATATATATAGAGAGAGAATATAGATAGATCTACATTCTATACAGATAATTGAAGGGTATATATAGTGATATATAATTTTATATATTTATATATAAACATACACACAAGATATATTATATATAATTTTATATCTATATCCACATATATATTTCTCGCATCTTTATCCATTCATGCATTGACAGACAAAAGTTACTTGGCTATTGTGAATAATACTTCAATAAACATGGGAGTGCATATGTCTTTTCAATACTCTGTTTTCATTTTCTTTGAATAAATACACAGAAGTGGGATTTCTGTGTCATATGATAGTTCTATTTGTAATTTTTTGAGGAACCTCCATACTGTTTTCCAGAGTGGCTGCACAGTTAACACTCCCACCAACAGGGCATAAGGGCTCCCTTTTCTCCACATCTTCCCAAACACTTGTTATCACTTGTCTTCTTGATGATAGCTATTCTAACAGATGTGAGATGATATCTCATTGTGAGTTTGGTTTGCTTTTCCCTGACAGTGATGTTGAGCACCTTTTCATGTACCTGTTGTCCATTTGGATGTCTTCTTTGGAAAAAAATGTCTATTTAGTTCCTCTGCCCATTTAAAAATCAGATTGATTGTTATGTTGTTATTAAGTTGTATGAATTCTTTACACGTTTTGAATACTAACCCCTTATTCAATACGGCGGTTTGCAAAAGTTTTCTCCCATTCTGTAGGTTGTCTTTTTATTCTGTTGATTGTTTCTTTGGTGTGCAGAAGAATACCTTTTTTTCTAAAGAATAATATTAAACACTTTACAGAAAATCTATATGTTGGGGGAGAAGAAAGGGTTGGATACCAGGCATGACAGGGAAAAACAATGCATCAAAGTATAACTGGGAGTGACCTTTTATGGACTAATAACAAAAGGGAGTTATGGACAGCCAAGTGTGATTAATTTACTTCTTTGAATTCAAAGCCTCCCTTCCCCTTCCCAAGATGATTAAATTCCTTTTCTTACACTCTCCTTCTCACTTCTACAAATTTATAACCGCCTACCCCTCTTTCCTGCTTTACCTTTCCTCTGAAATGATGAAAGTCTAAATTATTTTTCCCCGTATTCTCCATTTTTATCTTTTTCAATCATTGTTTTGAATTGGGACTGTTTATTTTTCTGTTACTGATTTTACTTTCTGTGTTTCAAAGCATCCACAGTATATTTTGGGCTAGATAGGGAAACCTAAAAAAATAAAATAAAATAAAGATCCTTTTGCAACATTTGCTTCCCTTTGTAAAGTACCCAACACCTGCTCAAGACAAGGAGTACTGGCCTCTGAGGCTCCCTCTAGCCAGGAAACTGTTATGGAGCTTGATGGAAATGTGGAAGCAGTGATCTGAGTATTTGCCCTGTTCCCCAATGTGTCATTTGATACTCAACCTGGACGATGGCAACATAAAGTATGTTGATACTCTTTTAAAGGCAAAAGGCAAAACCAGAAAATGTATGTATTTACTCGTATGGTATATCTCACTAATATAAAAACACAAAGGCTGCAAATCAATTCCAGCAGATGTATTATTGATTCTGTTTTGTTTCTTTCAGTTTCTCTCTGTGGGGAAAAGCAGTGAATTTCCCAGTAATTTTGTAACAACACTCCAACCAGTCTTAAGGGTTAACTTGCTTCAAGCTTATGCGCTTCTTGCTTGCTGACCTAAGTTCCTGAAACTGTAGCAGAAATAACCTACTTTCCTTGAGATTTGCAGACCCCTGGCCTTGAGGAGTGAAGGACCAGACTTTCCCAGAAGATAAGGCCTGACTGCATTTGAAAATAGCTGACTCAGAGTCCAGCAAGTCTGTTCAGGGTCATGTCCACATATGAGTAACCGCCTGGGCACCTGTTTCTCCTGCATGTAGCCCCCTCCCTTTCCCCATGCCTTCCCCTTCACAGCCTTCCAGCAACACCTGGACAGGGAAGATGGTCTTTGAGACATTAGTCCACCATCTTCCCAGGTTGCCAGCTTCCCTTTCCCATTGTCACTTGTCTCTGAGCACTGATTTTCCAGCAGCGAGCAGCCCACCTGAGTTGGGAACCAGTTCTCTGTCCGGTAACAATTTCCCCAGTGGAAAAGCCGAGGACAGATGTGTGGGAGCCTTTTCAGCTGAGCTACTACTCAAGAAAGCCTCGGTCTTCTCGTTCTCATGGTCAGGCAGGAGACTGGCCTTTACTTTCCCAATGGCGAGGCACACAATGTAGCACCTTCCTCCCACAGACCACAGGATCTGGCTGCACGGCTCTCCCAGGAAAGGGAGGTCTTTCTGGTTACCTTGTATTTTTTTGTTTGTTTGTTTCGTTTGTTTTTAAGACGAGTTCCCAGGCTTCGTTAGGGTTACCGGGTTGGCAGAAAAAGGCATGACCTTCTGATGGAAATCACTGCCGCCTTCTCTCCAGGAAGAGGGGGTCACTGGTGGCTCTGAGATGTTTAAATGCGCCCAACGGGCTGTGGAGACACGCAGGTTCTCTAATGGAGAATTTTCATTGGTCAGCTCCCTGGCTGGGGTGCGAGAGATGCCTTCGGGTGTGCTGTAAGCGGGATGATGCTGCCTGTGAAGAGTCTGGTGGGGGGAGGGGAAGGACGAAGTAACGGAGGGTGCTGCCCTCGTGCGGGGAAATCGAGACGGGGCCGAGAGGAGGAGGAGAGCGGGAGGAGTCTCGAGCG